CTCTGTTGTTCCCTATAATATTTAATTTTGGTCAAATACTCTCTCCTCCATAACACAATTTCCTCTCTATTCAATAATAAACTATTGCGCCCTCGTTTTTTCCATACAAAACTCAAATGTTGCAATACTTTATGGAATGTTGACCGCTTAAAACTTGGCAATAAAACATCTTCATTTATTTCTGTGAGTACTTTGTCTATCGTGGGTATTTCATTTCTGAAAAAGTACTCATGCACTTTCCTGCTGATTGAATGTTTGTCAGCATCATCTACTGATTTTATAATGGTTTGACGATTCTGATTTGTATTCGGTTTGGAAAATGTATGATTTTGTTTATATTCCCGTAAAACATTGTAAATCGAAGCGCAACACACTCCAATTTTATCGGAAACTTTCGATACGACTTCGTCGACAGTCGATGTCTCAATTTCTTCCATCTCTTTCTTGAACACATTTAAAATCACTTCTTTCATCTCAACACTCAAATGTCTTTTTTTGATTGTTTCCTGGCTGGACTCAGAGGATAACTCACAGTGTCATCAGCAGTGTCTGTACTGGACATCTTGGAAAACAATTTTAAACAATATACTATAACGCACGACACACAAACGACTTATTACAACCCTGTGCTGGTACTAAACTCGTACCAAGAAGGCGAATTCACCAATGAACGCTACCCTTTCCATCTGACACTGGGCGATCACGTGAACATCACGCTTCGGTTTTCTTTTGTTTTACTCTATCTTGGATTTGGATAGACTTTAGTTCACCTTCCTTGATGACTAAAACATCAAGGAATGGGATTTGGGGGTCTTCTTCTAATTCCATGTTTCAGATGTTTTAGAAAGTTCTGAAGCTCTTCTTTTCCATGGCTCCAATCAACGAACATGTCATCTACATACCTTGGCTCTTTCTTCAAATTTTGTCATGTAGAAATTCGCTACTACTGGGCAAAGTGGACTACCCATGGCGACTCCATCAACCTGTTTACGAAAGGTTAGTGGATGTCGAAGTAAGTTGATATCTTGTAGGAAGATTTCTTCTATGTAGCTGAGGGATTCCTCGAGTGGTACATTTGTGAATGAGTTTACAATATCGAAGCTAGTTAGAATGTCGTTTGGCTCCAAGGTGATGCCTTTCAAATGTTTTATGAAGTCAGTTGAATCTCGGACGTACGTCTTAGTCTTCCTAACATGTTTCTGCAGCATATTCGACAAATTTTTGTCGAGGTTGTAGGTTGGTGATCCTATGACACTTGCATATCGGTCTCAGCTATACATCTTCTTTGTGAATTTCCGTTAAATCATAGAGACTCGGTGGTAACGTTTCTGATCTGCAAAGTTTCTCCTTTGTCTCTGGTGGCATTGAAGATTCTAAGGTCATTGAGTTTGTTATTGTAGTCCGAGGTGTTTGAGACCACTGTTGCGTTTCCTTTATCAGCAGGTAGAATAATATTATAAAAGATAAAATAATACATAATTTTTCAAACCTACTGATTCATTTATTCTTGTTTCAAAAAACAACCAGCCAACTCATAACTAGTACTCATCTTAACACACTCTTTCATTCACAAAAGTCTTTATAAAATAAGTTCAACTAATATCTATATAACCACTGGAATAAACAAAAATTCACAATTTGTACTCTCCAATGACACTCTCTTTTAGAAATAACTTCAACTAAGTAACCATCACGGCAAGATGTAGCCGATGATCAATTCACCTTTAGGAGAATAGTGGCTGGAAAATGAACTGAAATTTTTGGTGATGAGTTGGCTTATTCTGAATGAAGATAAGGATTAGTGGCGAGTTCACCTGTATCCTCAAAAATCATTAATCCCCATCCTAGAATGCCACAGTTTGACTGAGGCTGCATTGAGGAGTGATTTAGAATTTCGAGGTTAATTTCTAAAAATTATTTGAAGAGTAAACTTCATATTTTTTTTTTGTTGTGAAGTTAATTTGTAAGTTTCTTTTGTAATATTTGTCAACGAGTATTCCTAAATATTTGATATTATCTGTTTTTGAGATTCAAAGTCATTATTTTATATAGATACTAAATATGAAGTTGAAAAACCGTTATTTACGAATGCATTATGTTTAGTTTTATAAAAATATATAGTTAAGATTCAAGTCAAACCATTTTCAATTGTCTTTTTATATTTTTTTCACTTATCATTGTCTTCTCTAGCATACCATCTTAATTTAAATTGTGGATAAGAAATAGCAGCAATTGCAACTTTCATGTTAGTCAGTGGTGAAATATCTCTGAATCTCGTATTTAATCACTCTGAATTGCTTTCAGAATAATTCTACCCAGCTAAAAATCACTGCTTGAAATGAAGACAAAATAACTATTTCTCCAATACTTTTTAAGAGGCAATATTTTATTTCGATTAAGATCAGCATATATGTTTTAGAAGAAATATACATTTTGCTGTCCCTCTTTTTTCATATGATATCAATTGCTTACCTTGAATGGGAACCTGTTAATTTCTGCTTCACTTTGCTGTGCCAATTCTCCCACCGTTCTTATATTCTTATTCTTCAGTTTGTTAGTTAATGTGGGTATGAACATAGGACTGGTCACTCTCTTCAGAATGACAAGTACATCATTCTTGCAGTCTATCAACTTGGGGTAGATGGGCCTGTCTTTGTGCAAAATCATCGGATTGAGCATGTCGAGACTAGGTTCGGTTTCAATATTTTCTGTTTCTGACAACTGATCAGAACTACTATCATCTGGGATGTCAAAAATGTCTTTAATATTTTCGTTCGATTTTGTATCGGGAACGGGATCAAAAAGGCGTTTTGCCTCCAAGCTGGGATGAAAATCATCTTTGATGAACAGCTTTTTCGATGTATATTGAAGACTGATGTCCCTTTACCAACGATATCACTTTTTGTTTGTCCAATGAACTGACTACAATATTTGCTAGATCTTCTAATGGGTAGTTCTCTTTGGCTGCCCTCTGCATCAAAATCTTCATCTCTGAGGCAACATCCAATTTCGGAATAATTGTGCTTGAAACTTCGGCAACAACTTTCTTATAAGATTCCTTGATACCATTAACTTTTCGATCGGCTCCAGATTCTCCATGCACCACATCTCCTTTCTTTTTGTAGTAATTGTCTTTGATTTGTAAACATTTGCCAACACTGGCACCTTGAATGGGAACCTGTTAATTTCTGCTTCACTTTGCTGTGCCAATTCTCCCACCGTTCTTATATTCTTATTCTTCAGTTTGTTAGTTAATGTGGGTATGAACATAGGACTGGTCACTCTCTTCAGAATGACAAGTACATCATCCTTGCAGTCTATCAACTTGGGGTAGATGGGCCTATCTTTGTGCAAAATCATCGGATTGAGCATGTCGAGACTAGGTTCGGTTTCAATATTTTCTGTTTCTGACAACTGATCAGAACTACTATCATCTGGGATGTCAAAAATGTCTTTAATATTTTCGTTCGATTTTGTATCAGGAACGGGATCAAAAAGGCGTTTTGCCTCCAAGCTGGGATGAAAATCATCTTTGATGAACAACTTTTTCGATGTGAGACAAGGATCGCTGAAGTTCACTCTCTTTCTCTTGGCACAAGGCGATATGCCATCATCAGTATCTGATAACTTCCTCTTCAATATACTGCTCTTAGGAACAGCCAGTGGACTAGGGATTTCTCTAGAGAATGTTAAGATATCATCCTCGCTTATCTCTTCGGCCAAATCAACAGTCTGCTTTTGAAAGAAGTTGAACATAAGTTTTCTTATCCTTCCGCCAGATGGCGAAGATGTGCTACCAGCAGTCCGCCTCTTGAAGAAAAAATTATGAGGTAAAGGAGAATTGACATTGATCATATTCAAAAGTTTTGAAGAACGTTCCTGGATAGTACTCGAGTCTTTGAATGAGTTTCGTGATACATTCTCGTTTTCAGTTTGAGCATTTTCATCATCATCGCCAACACAATTTTGGTTACTGTTGGAATTTTTGTCGTCTTGTGCTTCAGTTTCAAGACCAACATCGTCATTTTTGTTACGGATATCTTCTTTACCAGAAGGAACAGTGTGGAAACCATTTTGGGTACCATCAGAATCATCAGATGAAGTGTTACCTGAAAAAATAATGTGAACACCAAATTGATAATGTCAATATGCTAAGTATCAAATTAAAAATATCAAAATTACTTGATATAATCGACCTTCCTAGTTCCAGTAACTGTACTCTTGTTTTTTTTATTATACTACTCTTCATATGATATGTCACTTGATAATGGACAGCACTTTTGATGCAGTAATTTCAAAGTTCTTGCATAAGATCACCACACTTTATACAGGGTGTTAATTAGGTATTTACCATAAATTTAACAGACGATTCTTTAGGTAATTTTAAGACGAAATGTTCATATAAACATGGGTCCGCAAATCCT